GAATCTCGGCACAATGAACCTCGGGCAGGGCGAAGGAAGCGTGCTCCTCTCGCCAATGCCACGAGCGCATTAATGCGTTAAACGTAAAAGAGCCGGGGTTAGGGGAGACGCGCTTCGACGCCGAAGAATTAATCCAAATGCCCGGAGCATTGAAGAGCGAGGGAAGCCCCGTCGTCGCTTAAATCAACGCGCGTCCATTCGACCAATTAAAACGATGTAAAACAATAAGCACTGAGGACGCAGGGACCATGGACGGGGCCACAGCAATCGGTGCCGAATTCCCGCCCAGGCTGCTGCCAATTGCCAATCGGTTTCAATGTGCGTCGATAATTGTTGGAGGAGCCGCGCGAGGGTCGAGGCCCTCCCGTCCGATGATCGCCAATTCTCGCCAATTAACGAGCGCTCGCGGCCCGCTTAATCGGCCCCACCCTCTCCCTCCTCCGCCCGGCGTCAATCTTCATCTACTCCCGGGACACTTCGAAAATGCGCGTGTAGTTGAAAATTCTAATTGCTCATCGGGCTCGGCGAGTCTGCGGTTGGACGTTGTGCTACGCTCGCCCGAAGAAAGACATTCCTTGATTATTTGTTCGGTAACGAAGTAGGGTTAGCTCACGATGTTGGCCTTAATGTCGCCGAGATCTTTTATTTGCCTTTAGTTTTAATGACGACGAGCTCGCGCTAGACTCCAACGTTCACTTAATAAGTTTTTCGACGCCTTGCCTCGGTATCGCGGTTATATATGTCCTTTTATACGTCCGCGTCTTGGCGATAAATGGCAATGATTATGCGCCGTTTACTCGCGAAAGGATTTTTCATGCGGCGATAATTAATTGTGGGATTGGGATTATTTCCCGGTGAAGTCCAGTCTCGTTCCAATCAACGATCCGTAAGATCCATAAGATGTACGCTTAGTTTGTATTATTTTATATTATAGATTAGCAACAAATTTATATTGTTTCCGTTAACCTCTAATCGCCAATCGCTATTTCATTTAAAATTATGGCCACTTTCACTTAAACTTAGGATACGATATATATATATATATATATATATATATATATATATAAGCCAGGTAAACAATATAGTCGGCTATGATATTTTATCGATATTATATCGGCAAAAATATTTTAAACTATTTAATTAGCGAATTTTAAGGTTAGAATTAATTTTTAGGCTAGAATTTTGATATAAATTTAAGTACACTATTCACATTATAAATTCATAAACTTCTCCCTAAAGTTACTAGTATTAACAATTGCGAAAATACGCTTGACAAACAATATTATAATGGAGCTGCCTTAATCTTCGTTAAGATTAATATGAAAAAGCACATAGTATCTGCGTGCATTTACTTTTGTCAAATTCTTGACATCTCGTTATTTTTCTCTCCTCTCTACATTCTTCATTCTTCAACCTCATTTTCATTCGCACACATTCGAAACCGTGAAGTTCGTAGATCTCGTTTAATCGACCGCTGAGTCCCGAGAAAAAAAAATAAAGCCACTCGATGACGTCAGACGTCTTGGAGTCAAGTGGACCTCGTTAAGAATGACAATGCAAGAACGGTTAAGAGAATCCTTCTATCTTTCTCGGTCTTTTGCTCTTTTTCTAAAACAAAAAATAATAGAAACAGAGCGAGTGAAAGAGGCGGCGAGAAGGGGGAGGACGGTTAAGCCGAGGTTCGAGGGGGGGCATGGGGTGATTTCTTTTTGCGAATGAAAATGAGAGAGAGAGAGAGAGACGGACAGAGCCCTTTTGCGCTTCTCGGAACACGCCTACGCATTTACATGCGCTTCTGTCTTCGCCCGGCGTGGTTTATTGCCTTTGTGAATTAATTTCGCTTATTGTGCACGAAGAGAAGAAAGAGCGAGAGAGAGAGGGGGGTTGGAGGTGGAGGGGGGATGAGGAGGAGGAGGAGGAGGAGGAGGAGGAGGAGAGAGAGAGACAATCGTCTGTTTAGTGCGCGCGCGTATGTATGTAATAGGACCAGCATGAGTACATTAAATACGTTGCTTCGATAATAGGTTTGAATAAATTGGATTTTTAAATGAATTTTTAAAACAATATCATATAATTATGGCCTTCGATATTGAAGTATTTTAATATAAAAAAAAAAAAAAAACATTCAATAATAAAATTGTTACTTTCTTTAAATCTTTTGTATTTTCAATTAAACGTTACCCTCACAAATCATTATCACTATTCATCATCGTTTCACATTATAGAATCAACGTTATGTAAGTACCAGTAAATAGTAATAATGTCTTGATAGATGAAATATTATTTATAATTTATCGTTATTTTCCAGTTGAAATTGAAATTTATAAAATTTTTCACGATAATACTTAAATCGAGACAAAAATTAAAGACCTAATGGTTGGATTATGAAAAACGCAATACTCGTAACGAAATATTAAATAGACATTGTATCAACTGCATCTATGATATATATATATATATATATATATATATATATATACCGCATGCACGTACAATTTAATACTATGAAATTCGTTATTATCCATGATTATGGTACAATACACTCGTTGATTTACATTTTATTCGGTTTTACAATTTTGCACCACACTTTGTTTTATTCACAATAGTTATTGCATAAGTTTATAAGTCAATATTTAAGAAAAGAAACAAAAACGTGCCAATGATCTTTTAGTCGCAAATTTAAAGGAACGATAATTTTATTTCAGGAAGAATTGCCTAATAAAAGTTCTATGCGAAATGATAGCCACACCTTGAGTGCGACGCAGGCCTTCTATTAGAAGCGCAAGCAAGAAAAAATGTCTCAACCTACTCGGAACGTCAGCGAGCAAAAATATAAGAAATAAATTCCCAACCCAGACAAAAATTATCACCGCACCACATCCGGTAAATTCAAAAAAACAGCGACGAAAATGCTATCTTTTAACCTTAATATATAGATCGCTCACTTGTCAGTCGTAAACACCATACGTACACTTTTTGTAAAATAAAGTTAGTTGGAAAAATACGTACTTGTACAAGGAGAGCAATGATGGTCTCTTGAAATGATGTACTTTTATACTTATGCGTATTTTATAAGCCTGATGTTTACAAAAAAAATTTACAGATTAATGTAAAGAATATGTCGCTGGTTTTGTTGGGAATGAAAAGATGTTGGAATTGCATAAATTAAATACGAATTGGTATGAGATGTTTATTTAAAGCAAATTTACATGACTAATAAATATTAATTGAAAAAGAATCGTCTGTTCAATTGAAGGAATTAATATGTTTTTTATATTTTAACATTTATTTTTTTCTACTTTTCAAGTATTGAAATTTTTGTTGAATGATAAATACAATTTCTGATAATATTTTGCCTTCGCTTACATAATTATTTAATTAGTAGGCAAACTGATGAGCATTTTCTTTCAATATAATTAATTAACTATCAGTGAACGCAAATGGACTATGCTCGGCATGTACAAAAAACTTGTAGAAAACGTACATAAATTCGTATTAATAACCAGCTAAGTGATTATCATATATATTAGAGGAGTTAAGGAATGTAGGCAAGTGAAATTGCTCTAAAATCTATATGCCTGCTATTTAAATAAAATGTAATCAATATTACATTTGTAATGGTCAATGTAAATTGCTGTATTTTGATTAGCTCGTAAGAGGAAATCGTAGGAGTATGTCTTCTACTCGTTCTTTATTTCTCTTGATCGATCCAATGATCGACCGTGATACGTTTGCTGTGAGAGAAAAGACGAGGAAGAGGGAGAAGAAGAAGAGGGATAAAAAAAAAAGAAAAGAAAAAAAATATAAACGAATAAAGTTTTCTTTAACCATTATGACGCTAAAGAAGTAGATTTTAAATTACGAATTCACTTTCCAGCCAACCAGTCTTAATTAAATCACCCAATTATCGATCGAGAGCAAAGCGAAAGGTTGGCGGGAGCTGAAAAAGCTGCTAAACGTATGCCAGCGCGAATAAAAGCAACGCCCATTGTTTTTGTCCATCCGTTTTGAATGCCCTGATTGCAGAATACGTCATTCAGGCGCCCTTAAAGGGAAGAAGTCGAGGACAAAGGCGCGCTGAGGCATGTACACAATGTCGCGATTGCCGTATGCGTGTTGGGCTTGGATCGCGTAATGAGGCGCGCGAGACAAGGACAAGGACACCGTGAGCGCGACACGCGCCTCAACGCGCGTATTTTTATCGTCGGTACGACGACCGAAGTGCATTATCCTGCCCCCCGCCCAGGGTCAACCCCCATTAGCCCGACTCGACGCCCCGATCGAGGCTACCCTCCGAGCCCCCTGAGTATTAATTAACACGCGATAGGATATGCTCGCACCCTCTTGACGCTTCCATGTACGAGACGCGCGTAAATAATAAAAATTACTCGTTAAAAACGACTCGCTAAAGACTCGCTAAAGACTCGCTGTTGAATGTCGATCGATAAACGCCGAGGTCTTGGTCGGGAGGTACGTAAAATAAGTTGTCCAGGATAATGGAGAAGGAGATTGTAACGTGTGTGTTTTAAAAATGCGCTGCGCGAGTCGCGAAATCTGCGCGCGCCCTAGGCTGTTGGCAGGAGGACGAGGGTGAGGGAGGGCAGCCACGAGGTCGTACGCCCTTACGTTGTGCCTGACAAAGAGGGACGAAGACAGCAAATAAATGTCGATAATTGCGTATGCAAAGCGCGTGGCCGAAGGCACGTCCACGCATGCACGTGTCCCGAAGGCTCGACTGGGTGACGGTGGTGACGGTGTTGGTGGCGGTAGTGGGTCATAGGTGAGGAATGAAGAGGCCGGGAGTGTGGGGATGAGGGTCGATGTCGATGGAGCTGGTTTCGACGGTGGTGGCAATAATCAGTTCATAAAGTATGCCGTGGTTGAATGAATCCAAGGGACGATGGAGCGGCTCTAAGAAAGCTACTCTAACCAGCCTAGGCCATTATATTGTTTCTCGTGGGCCTTATGCATGTGCACTTGTGGCCGGTAATGGGGCCTCTCATCCACCCGACCGTCCCTCCTCTTTCTTCGACTTGGTCTCGTTCGCTCTCCTTATTATATCCGCCTTTTCTCTCGCTCCAGCATACGCGCTCTCGTTCTTTCTCCTTTTTGCGCGAACGATGCGCGATGCCGTATATAACGTTACGTGAGTGCGCGTGTTCTCTCTTTCTTCGTGCATTCGCGCTCGTGCAGTCGGTTTGTTCTTTATCTCTGCACCCCTTCTCCCGTCGGCATCGTCACCACCACCACCACCATCACCCCGGGCCTGCCTCAGTCCACGTTCCCAGTTTATCGTACAAGTAAGCGCGTAATTTTGACACTTTGACGGACGACATTGGCGGATGATTCGACGCCGACTTTCCAATCGACTTCTAAGCGGATTTATCGACGACGAGCGAAATTTCCGATCCTCGACTCCGCGATACATTTTATTAAAGAGATGAGTGCTCCCTGCACCAAGACCCCGTTCGTAAACAACGACACGGTTACTTAAGTTCCGTCTGGCGCTTTATGCGACTGCATATTTAATAATTCGCCGGGTGTCGTTTAATCGCCGATTGATTGGCCCAGATGATGGGCAGAGGCGGGAGTGGAAGATTCTACAATTTGTTTGCAGTCCGCGTAATTTTGCAATATTCCGTTCATCTCAGAACGGAGATGTCTACTTAAACGAAAATCCCGCCTCTTTGGTAATTATTACTATTACTGGTCACTTCCTTATTTTCCACGGGCACCTACATTCGCTGTAGTGATTTGTCAGTCTTTCGGTAAATTTGCAATAACGTGTAAATTTCCATCATTCAATCTAGCGAATGAACGTAAATTCCCGTACGCGTAATTTCAGCGCAGACTGGCAATTGCCTACATTGAGGGACGTAAACTCTTCCTGCAAAATTTTCAAATTCACAATGCTAGAGTGATTTTTACGTGACTCCAGATATGAGTCGTAATACATATTGAAAAAAAAAAAAAAAAAAAAAAAAAAAAAAAAAAAAGAGAGAGAGAAAAACAGGATGGTACATACATTTTTGCTTTTTCTCATTGGTTTCGATTCTATGAGATAGAAAAGTAGTGGTGAATTGTGTAGGAACATAGATGAGTAGAAAATTAAATTTGAATAAATTTGTTTTATTGTAACGAGCGGAATATTACATCTTTTGTCGGCACTTGTTGTGCCTTACATTATAAATCATTTGCCTTTGTTTTCATTGACATTTTTTACAATGGTATTATGCAAATGCTATTTAATTCACAAATCCTGCATATAAAGGAAATTTCCAATGATATTAAATACATAATTGTTCATATTGTTATTCAAATGGCGCACAAATGCAATTAGTTAGATAAGGAATTTCGAAGAAGTACTAATACTATCAACGCCTTAATATTAATGGAAGCTCGAACGAGAAGCCGAAGTAAAAGGTAAAAAAGTGAGCTAACTAACTTTCCTTCTATACAACTTCTATACATACTCGTTACGAAGAGATTTTCGAAAAACATTGGAAGATTACGTAATTTCTCAGAATGGAAGAGAGGCAAACGATGATCAATGGAATTTGGGACAAGCAAAATGAAAAAAGATCGGCAAATTACTTTTTTGTTGTCAACAAATTCGAAGGAAACAATACAAATTACATCAGATGGTCGTTGGGCGAATACATGGCAAATAAGAATTTTTCCGCGAAAAATCCAGCCAATCCCCCCGCCCTCTCCAAATCCCGACGTTTAAATGATCTCTTTTTGCAAGTAAGAAAGATAAATAGATGCTCGACAAATATATTTCCAAGGATTTGAGTAATAATAAGATAAAGAGCGAGTGGAAGGAGAAAAAACTGTTGCCTCGAGTTCCGTATTTCGCGTTTACGATGAAGGCGCCTGAAAGCATAACCTCGGCGCCCTTAATTCGCTTACGATCACTACATTTCAGCATCGCGTAAAGGATTAAGGGTGAAGAAGATGCTGCTGCGCCACGGTCATTTTATCATCGATGGAGGGAGTCGCCGTGGTGCCTTCGAACGTCCATCCGAGTGGAAACGCGCGACGAACGCACGGAAGTGCAGACGGAGCCAGCGGAGGATCATAGCGAGAGGAGTTGCGTGCAGGAGTTGGTGGGACGAGGGAGCGGATGGAGGGCGAGGTGCGCAACAGCATCAGGACCAGAGAGATAGAGATGGCGATATAGATAGTAAAATAGTGAGATAGATAGATAGATAGATAGATAGATAGACAGATAGATAGATAGATAGAGAGATAGATAGATAGAGAGATAGATAGATAGATAGATAGATAGATAGAGAGAGAGAGAGAGAGAGAGAGAGAGAGAGAGAGAGAGAGAGAGAGAGAGAGAGAGAGAGAGAGAGAGAGAGAGAGAGAGAGAGAGAGAGAGAGAGAGAGAGAGAGAGAGAGAGAGAGAGAGAGAGAGAGCGACAGTAAGTTGCGTGCGTGCGCGTATGTGGTTTAGAGAGATGGAGAGAGGAGTGGGAGAGAGGGGGTTGAGCTTGTGGTGGGGGCTCGAGCGGCTCTCGGTCCGCGGGCCGAGCGGGTAGCAGCGGCAGTTCGACTTCAGCTCTCGTTAGGACGAGTTGACGATGTCGAGAGGCGCGCGACGATCCGCCTACCTGCCGTACCTACGCAACGGCGAGGCGCGCGAGCTTTGACTATCCGCGAGTGGTTGTGCTTTCTCCCCTTTCCTCTCTTTGTCGCCCCTCTACTGAAATCCGAGGACTGGCTTTGGCTCACGCGGGATGATGAGGCCGCGCGCCGAGTGAGCGCCAGCCCGAGAGAGAGCAAGAAAGAGAGCGAAAAAGAGCAGGCGAGAGAAAGGAAGGAAGGAAGGAAGGAAGGAAGGAAGACAGCCAGGGTTAGCGAGAAAGAGAAAGAGAGAGAGAGAGAGAGAGAGAGAGAGAGAGAGTGCGGATTGAAAGAGACGTCGCGATGAGGTGGTGTACGCTGCTGTTCTCGCTCGGGGCTCTGGCCCTGGCCGGATGCTCCGCGGCGCCGACCGCGAGCTCTCGCTCCTCAGTTCCACCAGCCGATCAGTGCGATTGGACTGGCAGGTCAGTTTATTTCTTATCGTTGTCCGTTGGACTCGACTCCGAGCCCTGGATGCGACCTCGGCGATGATTCGCGATAACGACGATGATAATGGCTCCGATAACGATAGCGACAGCGATAGCGATAACGATAACGATAACGATAAGCATAAGGATAATGATAACGATAACGATAAAGATGACGATAAAGGTAACGATAACGATAACGATAACGATAACGATAACGATAACGATAACGATAACGATAACGCGTGCTCTCCTGTTGTCGGACGGTTCTCGCGTCCCCTCGTCGTCCTTCTTCTGTGCGCTCGGTTACTTTTTCTTAGCCGAGTTTATTTACGCGCAACAAGCTTAATGACTGCGGGACGTATACGTGTTGCCGTCCCACTGTACGCGAAGTAATTGCGAGCATCGTTCGGAACGTAAACACTCGAAACTCTCCAAGGCCTCGGTTATATTGGCCAAGTAAGTACTCGAGGAGCTCAAGTTTTCTTTCTCCTTTAATTCCAAGAGCGCGCGATCGTCGTCCTCACAGAGATTTTTCGTAAAAGCAGTTGAGACGTTAAGGAGTCATAGCTAACGAAATTAAACGACACATTCCTCGTTGTTTATATTTTGAAATTACAGGCATCTATTACCCCTCCCAATTCGGTATTTTTTTTTTTTTTTTTTTTTTTTTTTTTTTTTTTTTTTTGAACACTGGTATTGGAAGAAATCGATTTAATTTTAAAAAGTCATTTCCAAGCGTGAAGCCATTGTTTTGCTTGTAGGGTAGGTAAAGTGTAAGGAAAATGTTCGATGAAGGGGAACCTTGAAACAAAGCAACTGGTCGGTTTTCCTTCCAAAATCCTTTGTTTACATTAATATTGTAAATTTAAAACGTACTCTCTGACGCGCAATAATGCAATATTTGCGAACTTTTTTCTTTCTTTTTTTTCTTTCTTTAAATCTTTGTCTATTTTTCTAAACAAAGAGAATTTATCAATTACGGAAATAATTACCGTGCATGTTACTTTCTGGAAAAAAAAAGTAATAATGTTTTTCTTTATCATCGTTATCGTTTTTATTGCCATTATCATCATCAATATTATTAATAATATCACTATTGTCATTATTATCATTATTATTATTATGTAAAATGGAATAAAATAAAGTGTCGTTAAATTGCCGTCAATTGTCTGGATAATATTTTTCGCTTAGCAAAATTATATTTTTATATTGTGGATGAATTAATGGGTACGATGAAAAGATATAATTTTGGTTTATTGACTATTTCTGCGTATATTAGTTGATTTATGAATAAAAATATTTTGGCAATAGTTAGCCAGTAAATAAAACAACTAATGTAAAAATTTAACATAGTCAATGTAATAAAAAAAACAAGAGAGAATATAAAGAGATCCAATATCGCAAAAAATACATTTCGATTGAAATAATAAAATGGAACCGCATATGTCGAGGTGTGTCGATTCTGTCTCTAATGCGAACAAGACTTTTGTGCAAAATTTGGTTTTTGAAATTTTAAATCACCTTCTGTTGCCTAGCATAGAACGCCATAGTATCTATGGAAAAAAAAACACCTCATTACTAATAATTTGTATTCTTTAATTTATGACTAATGTCAAATGTAATAGAATGAATGGACATCGGGATACTTTCGATTGGTAAAGGGGGGGGGGTGGCAAAAAGAATATTGCCTTAGTACAGATGTTCTAGAATTCTTAAGTTGCATACTACGTTGTGAGCGATCTCGCAATTACGTACTTTTATTATTAAACGGAGAAAGTCGCGATCTCTGAGTCGTTGGAAGTAAGCATCGCGGCGAACGCGGATTCCTTTTGTTGAAATTTTGTTCATTCGCCATTCTTTTACCGCGTAGTGCAGCAAAATTGGCCAATTGCTTTTTCATTCACGCATCGAAGCATTTAACTTCGCACGCATTTACCGAGCATCGGCGTTTTCACAATTCCCACTGCCAACAAACGGACGATTTTGCAATAATTCGCTAAGCCGTGTGTATTGTCGTTTTGCCGAGATGTTGCCACGAGCCAACAAGACTCGTTGCGTTTAATTGCGCGTGCGCCTGATCTTTGCGCGAAACGAATAACATTCGCGCGGAGGTCAAAGTTCTCGATTCGATGAAAAAGGCGAGAAAGGCGTCGCGACCCCAAGACCCTCTCCACCGCGTCTTATTATCTCGCAACAGCTGGACACGGCAGCACCCATTATCCGTCTTCCAAAAGTTTTCTTCGATACCCGCTCGCTTATGCGCAAGCGTCGCTAAATCGTGACCGGGGAGCCCCGGCCGCTACTTCCGCGTCCGCGCAAATTAACGGAACTCGCCTACGCGCCGCCGCCGCCGCCGCCGCCACCGCCACCGCCACCGCCACCGCCACCACTACCACCGTGGCCCGCCGACTTTCCTTTGTTGTTGTCCCCATGCCTGTTCCCTACCCGTAAGGCTCACAACATGACTCCTATATCCCCCTTTCCCTCTTCGTCTTCACGATCATACCGAGAGTACGAAGGAGAATCATAATTCACTGTCGCATGCAACGGGAACAGCTGACTTCTGGCCCCGACGATCCTCGACTTTCCTTCGAATAGTATTTATTCTTTTATTAATAACAATAGTATTTTAATCCATCTATGATTCCGCAACGGATCACGTCCAAATCCCTCATTCGTCGATCATTCTATCTTTCGTACATTCGCTTCGTCGTTCCTCCCCCTTTAAGGCATTCCATTGATAATAAGTCGATGCTCGACCGATGACCCCCTCCCGGCCATTTCTCACAAATAGCTATTTACTTTTACATCTCTTAAATGTGTAATGACTTTTTACATTCTCTCCTCGGCCTATTAAAAGGCCCTCCCTCCTCTTCAGACATTTGAAATTTCGTAATATCGAAAGAAAATTAATTAGAATCATTTTATGTTATAACTCTACGGCATAAACGTCGATTCGACGATCCTTTGGAATCAATCGCACGCGCGCGCGCGCGTATATCGGATTAAGTATGCGGGTTAAATTGAAGTTTTTTCTATATGAATAAAACATAAATTTAAAAAAAATTATTTTTGTACGTAAATCAAGTTTTGGCAAACCGTCATAACTGTGAAAGGACAGAGATGAAAAAACATTATTGGACATCTCCGGTTAATTCCAAGGATTTACGCTCATTTTTTAATCTTATTTTCCCAATATTATCATCAATATTAAAAGCGTACTTTTTTTTTCTTTTTCCTTTCCTTTTTTTCCTTATTAAATCTGCTTAGGAATCGGAAGATATAAATTAATATTAATGCTTTTTAGTGGCTCAATTTCGCTTATACTACTTCAATTTATGAGTTTTTTTTTATGTGACGCCAGACCTGTTTTGTAAAGCATTAGTAGTGTACAGGATATTCGGCCGGCTTATTAGTAAAAAATTAAGATAAAATATTCTTTGAATTTTCAAAGTCAAGCGATTAATCCCACAAAAAATAACGGTGAATTCTTATGATTTATTTTAATATTACATTTAATTGCTTTAATTGCTTGCTTCTTTATTCTTTAAAGCTTTGATTAATTTACTCGTACTTATTATTTACTTTTGCTCCCATTAATCTTTCCGCAATCAGTGCTAATCGAAGTTGTAACACACATAAAATAACTTTCATCACCTTGTACATTCATTATACTGTAATACAATGAATTAAAAAAAAAAAAAAATAAAATAAAAAAATAATAATAATAATAATAATAATAATAATAATAATGATAATAATGATAATAGAAATAAATTAATAAATCGATAAGAATAGATGAAAGAAACAAAGTACGTCGAAATTGAGTTAAAAACAAGTGATTAGACAATTAATATTGAATAAATGGAAAAGATGTGTTGATCGCGCGGTATATCAAAATGATTTGTCTTGACTCGTCGTAGCCGATCGAACGATGTTTTTTTAATGTTCGCCAACCCCGACGAAAGATTCCCGCTAAGAGTCGCATATATTAATTTCTACATCCAAATGGCTTAAACGTTAATTTGACAGGCGGAGATAACGATCGGGCATTAACACGTTTATAATATTCAACCGTTTTGCCGTTTTGCACTTGTACGTGGAGTGAGACGCGCATACCTCTGCAGCACGGTTTGTGATATCGGACATTTTTCTCAAATCTCCTTAAACAGTGTCGAAGCGTTTGAGTCCGTAATCGAATTTTCTCCGCATGGTGGACGAGCTCTTATTTATTTATTTATTTATTTATTTATTTTTGCTGCTGTTGTCATGTAATACGAGGTAGGAGAGCCAGTGGGGAAATGGTCGCACGTGGTCCCACGGCCTCCTCCTCCTCCTTGTCCTTGTTAAAAGAAGTTGCGCCCTATCAGCAAATTCCCCGAGTTCTACGAATTGGTGCGAGTAAGAAAGCGGCCCCCAAGGCCCCATTAGGAGGTATACAAATTAAATCTTATTGGATGCGAGGGTCGCTATCACGAAGTTCGCGCATCTTTGGTATTACGAAGTAAGGCATTCGTAGGAGAAGGAACGTGTCGGCAAAAAGAGCTTACAACTAAATGACAATAGAGCGCGTATTGCCCCCGTACTCTTTCGAGTACTTTAAATACTTTATGGTACTCGCTGGAAACGTAGATAACTTCTATCAGAAAAGAATAGCAATTATATGACGTAGCATTTGATGGCGCGTGAGTCATCTCTTCCTACTCCTTCCCCACCCCCATCTCATCCCTATCCTCGATTATTGCTTGGATGGACCGATGCTGTTTTTCTCGCTTGATCGATCAATTGGAGCATAATTGTTAAAAGAGGTATAATAAAGTCGTATTGTAAAAATTACAGTTCATTAAATTACGTTCTTTCGAGTGAACACAAATACGATTGTCGTCCCTCCTTCCCTTGACCCCGCTTACACCCCCCTCCCACCCCATCAATTAAATCTCTCATATTTCAGCTAGGAGAAGAATTTAGACGAATAATAATTTTATACGCATAACGAGTCCAGGTATTTATTAACGTAACGGAGGTCGATTGTTAGATAGAAATTCGAAAATTAGAGAATGGTATTATTATTTAGAAAGTCGCTCAGAAATATAAACTAACTCGAGCGTGCGCGGGAAATATGTGGAAGATTTGTAACAAGAGCAACAAAGCGCGTACGTCTCTTCTTCCACCCCCACCCCACCCCACCTCACCTCACCTCTCGCTCGCTCGCTCGCTCGCTCTCTCTCTCCTCTCTCTCTCTCTCTCTCTCTCTCTCTCTTCGCGAAGTCAATGACACGATGCACAGCGAAAAACGAGATTAGTGCCTTGCGCGCGTATAAGAGGACAAGATTGGGAGGGAAGAAGGATGCCGTAAATAGAGCGGGAACGTGAGCTACGCAAAAAGGGTCGAACGATGATTTCATAAGCGCATGCGAACGAGCGCAAGAGGGGGAGAGAGAGAGAGAGGGAGGGAGAGAGAGAGAGAGAGAGGGAGAGAGAGAGAGAGAGAGAGAGAGAGAAAGAGAGAAGAGGGCCTAGTACGCGGCTCGCACTCACATCTTATTAAAAGGCAAACCAGTCGCGCGTACGTATGTACATTGAGGGGGCGTTCGTGGGGGAGCGGGATAGGGGGCGGTTAGGAGGATACACCGCGAGAACCGGTTTCAAGAGAGAGAGAGAGAGTGAGAGAGAGAGAGAGAGAGAGAGTGAGCGGTGGGGGAGGGGAGAATACGAGTGCGTTCCCCGACTGTGTGTTGGCTTTTGCAACACGCTCCTCATTACCCATCGTGTGCTCGTCCTCCTCCCAATATGTAAAGTGCACGGGAGGTGGGCGTGCCAGGGTACAATGACAAGGAGACAAGAAGAGAGGTAGGTGGTGGAGGAGGGACGTCGTTTATAGATTTTAAGTTTGTTGGCGGAAAGTTGGTCGTATCATTTTTATTTTTCTTAAGGTGAAGAGCCTTTTAAGGTAGCCATTGAAAATTACGGTCCGTTCCGAATCATTGAATCACTTTTTCCTCATTTTCTTCCTTCGGCCCCTTTACTTTTTATGATAAGTACACAATGAGGCAAAGTAAATTTCAGCGGGACTTGGTTGGAGAGTTCTCGAGCGGCTACGGGATTGAAAATATTTTTCTTCCCCGCGTTCTTCGAGTTCTCGTATTCCTCCGTATTTCATTCTAATGATCCACTCGACTACATAGTTTAATTATTATTGCCCTTGTCATTTGTATGCCAACTATTATTTTTCGAGCACACGTTTTTCACAAGAACACTTTACCGCTTTATACATATAATTGAGCTTGGAAGGAAAGAAAGGATGAAAGAAGCGTAATGCCTATGGTCAATGACGCACAATTTTATATATTTTTATGTCTTTTGTATGCGAGGTTATTTTCGAAATTTCACTCGAGCGACGGCTAATTGACTTTAGGCTCGGTAGCTTGATTGGCGCAATTTTATGTTTTTAATTTCGACAAACTTTTGTCGAAACGCCAAAGAGCGCAAAACAACCAAGGTGGGTGCATTCGAATGTCAATTTTCATGTATCGTACACTTGTTATTTTGTTCAACTTTAACAAAATCTTGTCCCCATTTAGGCATTACAAAAAATCAAAAAGTTAGAAAAGTGAAATTCTGCAATATTTGTTAGCGCAAAATAATCTCGTTGGTCGGCGGAAGTGCAATGATGATAGGGTAGAATAGAACGGTCGAACATTCTTTATCAAAAATACTATGATAAAAACCTTTTATCTCTCCCCCTACTCCTCTCCATCATTACCACGCGTGAAAGACGTATGATAAAATAGAAAATCTTCCCCAACCCTCACGTTTCCATATACACACACACGTCGGTCAATGCAAACACAAGTGAGTAGTCCAGCTCTCGGTACAACAGGAGCAAACCCCCCCCCTCCCCCACTTCATCTCCACATCACATCTCTCCTTCCCCGCTATCCTATCTCGTTGCCACTTTATAGGGAAACGCGAGTGTTTGCTTCGAAGTCACTATAACACGTGCATAAATCGTATCTGCCGCCGTGGAAAGGCAATATCCCACTAGAATGAAAATCGATGGTTCGTGCCGAGCCGAGCGACACTTTTGTATTTAATTTATTCATACTCCGACAAAAGTCCACAGAGAGTTAGAGAGTTAGAGAGTTAGAGAGAGAGAGAGAGAGAGAGAGAGAGAGAAGGGAGGGGAGGAGAGTGAAAAGAATAGAGAGGGACACGAGACTTCTGCGAGATACCATATCATGTTTTGAAAAGTTTTCGAGGAATCTACTCCAATCCTTTTACAATGTCATTTTTAATAACGTTTTTGACACGTCACTTTTTACTTTTGCCTTTAGCCTGTCTCGGCACAACTACCAATTATCGTAATCAGCCTTAAATTACAACGACGTTGTACATTGTTTCGTGTACAATATTAATGTGCCCTACGAGAGGGACACTGTTTATTTTATTCAAAATATCATTATACTCATTTTGATGAAATTACCTTAATAGTCTGAGAAATTTCAGGAAATGTATCTTGCCGGAGTAAGGACGCAAGTCGCTCAACCACCAACGCGACATGTGTACATTAGTACGCTACCTCGGCCCCTTTACACAATAACAATGTACGTGCAATTGAAGCACAGTAGAGTGTTAATTGATCGAAAATCCGATAAAATATCTAATAAATAATTCATAATTCACAGACAATTTCGCATTGTTTCTTCAATTACGACTGACGTGTTTGTAAACATCTAGCCTACATGCAAACGGCTTGACGCCGATAATAAATTAGCCTAACACTTCAATCAAGTGCTATCGGACGTTAAAATATAAAAGTAGTTTGGCTCGGAGGGGTCGACCCCGGCACCATGGCCGCCATTATCGCTGCTCTTTACTATTTCATGCACCGCGAGGCATTTCATCGCCAATGCACTAACGCGAGAAACACCGCTGAAACGCGTCGTGCTCCATTATTTTCATCGACCGCGGCATTTCACACTCTCGCCTCTTATAATTGCATTGGCAAACGCGTCCAAGCACGGATTACGTTATAAGCGAAAATTGTATTACAGGACTCGAGTGGAGGATATTATCCGCAATAAATAATATAATACAACCAGCCAACGATTATCGAGAAATAATGATTTTATTTTCATGCCCGGATCGCCGTTCGGGATACCGTATGCCACGGCGCCGAGGAGCTTACAACATCGACTGTGACCTTCGCGATACCGATTCGAATATGACTTCCCCTCGTCGTCCTCATCACCGTCATCCTCAATTACATTTGGAATATTTTCATTCGTACTTGCATTATGACATATGATGCTTTTATACGCACATACGGCTTATTATTATTATTATTTATTATTGTTGTTATTGTTATTATTATTGTTGTTGTTGTTGTTGTTGTTGTTGTTGTTGTTGTTGCTGCTGTTGTTGCTGTTGTTGTTATTATTATTATTATTATTATTATACGTGAGCAGTCGAAATTATTTCTCCCCCCGTGTGTGTAGCACGCGACTACCGTCCTTCTGACACCTTCCGACAGCCAACAAGTAAAAGCTACTCCAGCGCTTCTAAGAATTACGAAAGAATCGGCGATGTAAGAAAAGTTTTTTAAATTTAAAAAAAAAAAAGAAAAGTAAAATCGAACGCGACTTTACACGTGCTAACCGAGAAAAGTCTCTCTAACTCCCGGGGCACAGTGGGAACAGGAAGCGGCGGGCTCGAGCGCGCCCCCCCCCCCCCCGGCACATCCCTCCTCCTAGTCACGACAATTCAGTCATTGTCCGATCTCAAGAATTAACCGAGTAACGTTTCCTTTATTTCATGTTACAGTGGCGGTGGTGGCAAAGGCGTTCGCCCGGTCTACCTGCGCTGCTCTCGCGGCACCGTCTCCTGGCGCTATCCCCGGGGCGCTCTGAGGGTCGTCCTCTCCGGTGGTGAGAGCTCCCGGGGCTTCCGAGGCTGCGTCAAGGCCACGGGCCCCGCGCGCGTCTACCTCGAGGGCAAGGGCAGCCTGCGGCTGATGTACGCCCCGGGCGACGGCAAGCACGAGGCCCTCCATCGATGCTTTCGCTCGCGAGGCCAGATCGCCGCCCTCTACGTCGAGGCCGACGAGCTCGCGCCGGCCGCGGGCAGGGTCAAGGTCAAACTTCACTACGACCTGGAGCTGCAGCAGCCGGAAGAGGAAGATGAGAATGAGGAGGGGGGTGCCGAATGCCGGCCGTGCAGCAGGGAGGAGCTCGCCAAGGCCTACTGCCAGAGCGACCTCGTGGCCAGGGGCACCGTCAGCGCCGTCGAGAGACGGCCCGAGCTCGAGAGCGCCGAGCTCCTGCTTAGGGTCACCAAGACGCTCAGGCGCATCGACGAGAACGAAGTGAGTATATTTGCGGACGTACAGTCCCCTCATTAGCTTAATCGCACCCCGAATCCACGTCATTCACAGCGACTCTGCAATGTTCCATGTCCACACTCGCTTATCCTCGAAGGCTGCTAACGTGGACAATGACGTTCAAAAATCAGCCACCAATTCTCCATTACGTACGTCCGGGCGTATGTGTAAACGTTGCTACGAACAGCCAATTTCGTCAAATCTCATTCACTCCTTTTCATTAGAATTGGCTATTTATTCGTGATAAATAATTGAGAAATTGCCATTTAAGGAGCATCTGCTTGATAATCAATCGACACGTCCAGCTTATTTATTATAAAAATATCGGAACTTCTTCCCTAGCGCGTTTAATTGCCTCTTGTGTCCATAAATCCACGATTATTAATGAACTATGTGGACGTACGTGAGATCGAGCATTCTTGCCTACGGATGGATGGGATACGAAAGTCTTGATCTCGAATCAATCGAATGGCAAGAGTACGAGAGAGAATATCGTGCGAGCAACGAACATTTATAAACGAACAATTATAAGCGTTCGCACCTTCTCCATTATATATTCCATTGGAATTTAAAATCACGGCTCGCCACGATTCTCGCTACCCACTTACATCTCACATCCTATCCTATTATGCTATTGTCCATTGGGAGTTTCTCGATCTTTAAACTTTTGTCACCGTCGCGAATTTTCGACAATTATCGTATAGTGTTTGAGGGGGACGGGCGGCTTGCGGGAGGAGGGGGTGGGGGTGGGGGTGGCGGGGGGGGGGGGGGGA